CCAACCATCGTCTATACTCATTACCGTACTACCACAACGATTCTCCCGCTTCACGCCCTTTGCGGGTGTGGTGTATGCGCCACACCCGCAAATTCTATTTCTTCTTTCTTCCCAGACCTCACACCTCAAGCACAACGCAACGGCGTTTCCTGATGCTCGACAAAAGGATGCGTTGCGATTCTCTCGGTCAGGGTCATTTAAACCCTACGGGGTAGGTCGCGCGCGACACCATTGGATAATTGTCGAGACCTATTCAATAGGCAATTACTCATAGACCCCAAAAATGTTTATTTAGGGTTGCTTGATTTTTCATTTGTACTTTTCCCTTTGCCAAAAATGTTCAATGAACACTTAACTGCTTTGAAGCCACCTGGTCACTAGGACGAGGGGAAACTGACCTATTGGAAGATACCCTTCAAAAGCTCACAATGTTCTGCTCCCACAAGAAATGGTCGATTTTGGAGGTGGGTCTTCATCGTCAAATCCTCGGCACAATCCAATGTGACTATGATGATTACACGAACGCGGTTGCTCCTCACGAAAGAACGACCTCCACGAGAACGCCGGCAATCCGACAAAAACTAAAATTGACTCCTCCATGCACGCGCGCCCCCGGTCCTTGAAGAAATGACGTTTCTCTGAGGGAAGCCTTCCGAGGTTTTCGGGTGAAACCAAAATTTTGATCCTCTGTGGACACAGTTTTTCTATAAAACTTATTTTCAGGCAGGATTCGTGGAAGCAAAAACTCTGGACAACAGACTGACTGGTGAGTCCTCCTCTTTTTCTGTGTTCTTATGGCCTGAGATTATTTACCTTACTCGAGAATAGATTGCTGGCAAAAATCATCGATGTGGTCGAAATGGACAACCCTGGGCCATCACGAACCACTCTGGACGGAGCAATGTGGCTCTGAATAAAATTTCCTTTCTGCTTTACAAGATTCTTTCGAAGGCAGACGTTTTTTCTCGTTGGAGGTCTCCCTCGATCCAGTGACTTTTGTAGTCAAACTGGCTTTGAAAGTTATTTCTCTGCTAGTCCAAGGTTTCGTTGAGAGCCTTGGAATGTCCCTCTGTATAATAACTCTGGGAAAGTTTCCCTTGGTGCGGCAGGCAGCATAAATTATTAAATACACATGCTCTTAGTTGGTTTGCTTACAATTGTTATTAAAACACAGTTGTTTTTTATGTATGTGGGGATGCAAAGCCACAAATATCTTGAAAGTAGGGGCCCCAATCAAGATGCCCCACCCCGCCTGCAATTCCTTCGGTTCTTGCTTTCTCTTTATTCGGACCCAATGTGTGACCCCCAGCCCAAGGTGCAAAAATCTAACTAACAGTTCCTTAATCGCAACTGTCGATAACTAATCCTATAAGTTTTTAGACGCACCCGTTGTGACGTGCGGTCCAGATGCTATTCGAGTCAAAGGCGAAAGTGAGGATGTCTTTGAGGGTCAAGTGAGTTCGATTTGGTGATTGCCTTTCATTCAGCGATCTCTCACTTACTCCATGTGAAGCCCCTTCCGTGATAGCTGTGCTAAATGGGCTCGAAAATGAAAATAAAGATGGGAGACGGACGAAAAAGGAACTAAAGCGAATAAGACAACAAAAGAGTAAGGTGTGCCACTTTTTGAGCAGACAGACCGCTAAAGAGCACTGAGCGAAAAGGCGAGTTAGCAGAGGACGAGCGAGGCGCAGACATTCGCATTTGAGACGATGGGGGGTCTTTGGGATGTGCACGGATGCAAACCATAGACCTCTAGCATCTTTACCGTGAATTCGAGCCCCGCAAGTGGCACTACCCCTGCCTTTAAGCAGCCATGGAGCGCAGTCACGGTTGGCAACGAACAGCAACGGGCGAACGTGGACTTATCTAATGGGACAAAAAGGGGAGGGGAGGGAGGAAAGGCTTCTCCTGTTTTGTTGGTGTCAAAATTCAAGATCTGAGTTGAGAGAAAATGAAAGGGTCTGCGCCGTAGAGGGATGTACTGGACCACAAGCAAATCAAGGTAGCCCTCTAACTCCGGCTGTCTTGTAATCAATGTGGACCTGACCATCAACATAACCACTGGTCAGACCATTCTGTTCATATTTGTTTGTAACTGAAAAGAATCGTCGATGTTACGCTATCGGGAAGCTAAACACCTGAAGCTATGGGTAAAATGTGGGTAATTGAAGAAAACCCAGTCATTTCTTAAGGCATCGGTTGGTTGGCATTGTCTCCTCTCAGTCTTATCGGCTCGTTCGGGTTGAGAAGGCCACGGGGTTTTTCCGCATTCGTACCTTCCACAAGTGCTCCAGCTACAACTTGATTTGGGAAATTTCCAGAGCAGGTAAAAGCCACATTATGCGATTATTAGGTGTGGATGCTATAGTCGAAAGTGAAACTAAATATGTGAAGGTGAGGGAATTGTATGAAGGCGTCAAGAACTTAAACAAGAGAGACCTTCTTTTTTCAACGTGAGTCTATCACTGCAAAATGTTCCTGGGTACGCGGCGAGAGAACGGAGGAGGGAGCATGGTGGACGCATGAGACGTAGACAGCAGCGTTGACTGTTGTATCGCGAATATTAGTGGCAGTGGCGGGCTCGCCTGGTAACAATACCTAGCGCCATGCAAGAGTGGCACATATCCTGCCATATTCGATGGCTCTGGCCTAGTCACGGGAAGATTTATCCGCTCTGGTTAGAAATGAAATAAGCACCAATTCAACAACACAGGTTTGGCCCAACCTTTTACACCAACTTCCATCAACTGAACTGTTCTGAGCGCCCACAAACAAAGAGCCATGCATGTAGGAATCCATGTTTCTTTTTCAGATATTCATCAAAAATCAGCGGCGTTCCGCAGACTGTTTCGTCCCGGGGTTTTCGTATGTTTCCTTCGTCAATACAGCCGAGGAGAATTCGACATCGCCCGAATTCTCGCTGCCGTTAACTCGGCTATCGTCTTGTGGCATTGACATACGAAGAAACGTAAGTTTGATTGGAACTCAAAGTGAAAGTGAAACATTTCCTCGGAAGGAGCATGCGATCACCACCACCATGAAAACCGTGGAGGTTCCCGGCACATTTCGAATTAAGGATGTCTCACGCCTCGATATGGCCCATTCGCCTCATTCAGAGTAGCTCGAGTAAGGCATAGCCCCTCCTATGTATGATATTAAGTTAACGTTATGTATCAGATTACCTTCCCTTCGACTTTCCAGTACTGATTCCCATCAAAAATGCTCTGTAACACATAAGGCTGAATATGGAGCCACATTTCTTCCCGTAGTCGACAAATCAAGCAAGGCAGCCTTGCCCGTTGCAGAAATGCACCCAGGCTAGCCTTTATTCAGCTTAGCTTGCGCCAAAGCCACAAACACTTACAAGGGAGGTCATTCAGGACAAGCCGCGCTTTTCAAAAAGGTTTTGAGCTCAGCGCTGACACTACAAAATCAAGGATCGTCCTCGCCCTGAACGCCCCGTGAACAAGCTAAAAAGGGGGTGAGGAATGCCCAAGGATCACGATCCTTAAGGACAAGTACTTTTGCAGTTAGTCGGAACTTCCAAATTTTCCCAAAATAGCACCAGCGCAAATAGATATCATATGCATTAGCAGAGCGCTACCGGTAATTATAAAACTCAGAACTGGAATATGACGGAAAAAGTTGTAATGCCAGAAGGGCGAAGTGGCGTAAATTGGAGACGGCTGGAAAAATAAATGCCATATTCGTGATCAGAGCAGAAGATATTCCTCAACGCAAAAGTTTGAGAAAAAATTGAGATTCTGAGCCAGTTCCGAAAAATTGGTCGTCGACAGGTCGGTCAGTAGCCCATGGGGGCTTGAGGGGAGAGCAAATGAGTTTCCTCGTAATCCTCTCCAAATAATAAGAAATTTCACTACAGAGTAGAGAATGAGACACCTAAGCTGGTGATAGACAACAGGATCCGCATGGATGAAGTCGACAGATTTCTCTCCTTCAAGACGTGATATGTTGGGTCCTCGTCTCTTCCTCACTCGTGTAGGGCCTCATCTCCATAGCTGGAGCGATTTCAAGGACAGGGACGTGGTGGAGATGTTCTCTGTGGAGTCGAGTTCTGGATTCTGTTAATCATGAAAGTGTTCCACCTGATTTTCATCAGCGCTCTTCATGAAGTCGTCCGCCGCTGTACATGACGACCCCGGCCATGGTCACCTCCTTTTCGAAGTTAGGTCAAAATCTCGACTTTCGCCGAAATTTGCCTGTAGGGGATAAATTGGAGCGCTGATCGCGGATATGACGTTATTTTTTTGGCGTCGGCGCCATTGGCGCTACGATTTCTTCTGCCACTTTTTGATGTAAACCCCTTGGCAGGGGCTGCCGATGGCCTGATTGGGAGTATAGCGTTAAATTTGACGTCGAAGCGATTTTGCGCTCATTTGGAAGTGACAATCGAAAATGCAAAAAACCATGGAGCAGAGTGAACTACAAAGCCTCTTCCTTCCAGTCCATTGCGCTATCCACTCGACCACCAGACCTCTGCGGATGGTAGGATGCTGACAATGCTAATGAAACCTCTTCACTTTCTGCAGCACCAACACTGGAAATACTTCAATTTTTGCGAATTTCACCTTGTTTTCAATACCATCTTCATCAGCACCCTTCAATATGCAGGTGGTCTTCTGTACAAGTCCGAAACGTCACTCCAAAGCTGTAAAAACCGCCATTCTCAACAATTTTTTCGATTTTTTGGCCATCAGGGAACCATTCAGCGAAAATGGAACACAGATTTGTAGTCCGTAAGAACCCCTACAGCATGCAAAAAACCGTCTTGGAAAAGCGCGGCTTGCCCCGAAAGGCCTCCGTTGTTGGGCCCCAGCTCTGATCACCGAACAAAGCGGACACCATTTCAACGGTTTGTAAAAGCCGAAACCAGCTGAGTCGCTCGGGGAATGCCATCCACTGCGAATGGTGAGGTGCCGACGGGTGTGCACCTTTAGTCAGGATTGACCTTTCACACCTCTTCGCTGTCGTTGCCTCACACCCTGCTCTCACTTGCCATTGGATAGACACCGCTTAATTGACTGCGCTGACTGCTGACCTCAACCCTGTAAATTCATCTCATACAGAATATTGTTCGCTCAAGAAGTCATCAACACAAAATTAGTTAAGTAAAGCAGCTGAATTTTAATTTTAGGAATCTGATTTCTAAATTTCAAAGCTCAATCTAGTAATTCCCAGCAGATGCAAGAGCGAGGAAAGTGAGCGAAAAACTCTCAAGATTTTTCAGATAAGCGACTTCATGAAATAGTTCTGGCTTATAACAAAGCAAACACTAGGTCATTCTAACCTCATTATCCCATTGTGCAGGGTTTAAAGATAGCAGAGATTGAAAGATGTAAAGAAAGTGTCGTTTTTTTTCGGATTGCTTTGAAATTTTGTTGGTCCATTTTACATCAGAAACGCTTTCGACAATCGAGTAACATTAGCGATTTCAGATTTGGAAAAACAGAAAGTTTGCAAATTCAAATCCTTACACAAGTTTGACCAATTTGTGAAAAGCTAAGGAAGCAAGCCCGTTCTTCGGGTTTAGAAATGATTGCAAGGAGGGGGAAGGTAGTACCTAAATGTGAAAATTCCCCGGCGCTATCCCAACAAGGGTAATATTGCGTGTTGAGTCATCTAAGCCTAGTTCCTCCGGAAACGACTGAACTAAGTCGTACGCAAGCTTCTCTATAAATTAATTCAAATTCCGTAGCTTATTGGTAAAATGGGGAATGTTGGAAGAAAACCGAAATATGATCATTGAATGTCGTAGCACACTGATCTCGTAAATTGATTGAATTTGGTTTCAAAATTCAACGGCGTTTCACTGTCAACATGCCTTGCAGCCACGGTCGCATAAAGTCTACCAGTATCTTCTACCTTTTGGCGCAAGAGGATTGTAAGGAAGAGGAAGGTCTGAAATTCGAAAATCTCCAACCGCTCCCCCAACAAAGGTTAAATTGCGCGCTGAGCCATCGAAGCATAGTTCCTCCAAAGCTAAAGCTAATCGTTAGTTAATTTTCTCTAAAAAATTATCCAAATCCCATAGGTAAATGAAAAAAAAAACTGGAAAATATTCATTGAACGTCGTCTTTTCGTGAATCACTCGTCGTTCAAGAATACGATGGCAATTTTGGAAAGACAAGTGATAGGGAAAAAGGTATTAGGAAAGCTTATGGGCAACGCTGCGATAATTTCTAAATTATCGCAAGGTTAAAAAATAGCGTTATATTGGTACTTTGCTCAAGGAAATTCTCCAGCAGAATGAATCCGAATGAGGAAATTAGCACGTCCCCTGTAGCTGAATTTTCAGAGTTGTATTTTCTTTACTCTCATATCTCTGACTTTCTAAAAAAGATAGACTTGATAATCAATACTGCTCATGAGAGCGATTTGTTGGAGCGAGGTCAGCGCTCAGCACAGCTAATTAAAGCAAGGTCCAGCCGTAGGCAGGTGAGAGGGTGGTGCGAGGTAACGACAGCGAGTAGGTGTGAAAGGTCAATCCTGACTAAGTTCCCTCTCCCGGGCCGGACACAGTCCACACCTGACGCTTACAGTCTCAGGGTTGACCTGCAATAACCTAGGGTTGCCCTAGTAATCCTCCTGGTATTTTCGCCTGAGAGCAAACCTCAGGGTTACTCACTCTCTTTGTCAGATCAAAAACCGATGAATAAAGACGAGGAAGCCTAGGCAGTTTAGCGAACGCAGTACTTCCCGCAGTCCAGACCCAAGACCTTCACAGCTTCCCGTTAGGCTGCGGAAAGGCAATTCAGAGATGACAAATCTAGGCTCATTTAGGCTACTGATTACAGGCTGTTCAAATCATTCCTACCCTGAAGTGTGGTGAAAAAATGCAACTTGGGCAATGGATTCAAGGGGAATAGCCTTCTTGGGAAGGAATAGCCCTCCCTCGCAATTTCGAAAGCCGCCAAAAAATTGAAGACCGCCCACTGAGCTGCTAATTTTGCCAACTCTCCGTAACATGCACATGTCCAAATTTGATGGAAAATTCTGTGGTAATTTCAGCCAACGCGAGGTCTCGAGCTGTTCGCCGTGTTCGTTTTCGCTTTCCATCCGTCATTTGTGACGGCCGGTGATCGAGCTTTCGCCGTTCATTGTCTCTTCCAACAGGAACAAATCACCGTATCGGCTCGATTCGACTTCATCAGGTTCGATGGCTCTCTTTCTTGATGCTTCAGACATCCAGCTTACATTCGCGAACCGTTCTTCTAGGCTAAAAGTTAAGGGGCGGTTTTTGGATCTGGAGGCACCGATTAAGCATCCATGATAATGGGGTTAATTGAACAATTCTTGCCGTAATTTAATTTTCGAATCACGTGCGAGACGACAGCGCTGCCTACCCTCCGCCCAAAATTTGCCCGTGAGACGGCCAGCTATCCTCTTAGGTCAGGTCACCAGAGCTGAGCGATGATTGAAGTGTGAGGTTAGATTAGGCTTGCAATTACAAGAGAATCTGCGCTCTTTACAGTGGTCTATACATGGTTTTCTGGGAGCTCCTTAACATCTTGAAGTCCCTCAATCCTTTTTTTCAGTGACATCGTTCCAAAGGCAGTGCTTGGTGCGACGTCCTCGTTGCCGAAAGTCGACTTCACCATAGTGCAGGGAAGAGTCCCGAGCGGCGCAAAAGTCGTTGGTCAAGTGCCCATCGGCCACCCGCTCATGCTGGTCTGGGCCCTCGGCGAAGAATCAAGTAAGTTTCCCTCCTGTTTCGCTTGAACCTTTTGTTCCAACGCTGGAGATTTGCATTCGGCACAAGGATCAGTCGGGCGATGACCACCGAAAGTCAGATTGGACGTGTATGGGGCGTGAATTTTTAAAGAGTGTAAGAATTTGAGTGAAGGTGTCAGCAGCTTCAGAGAGGGCCTTGTCGAGGAACGGGTTGTTCTCTTTCCGAAGTAAAGCACATAGAGGATGTTTCTGAGGCTTCTTGATCGTTTATATACGCCTTGCCATCCGACCAACTTTGTGTGGGGTTGGAATAGCAAGTTCGGTTGACTTCCACTTTTCAACGAGGAGCTGAAGTTTTCAGAGAAAACTTAGCTCCACCGCTTGCAGGCTGAAGTCCCTCTGAAAACTCCTCTAACTCTGACTGCTCGTATATTGCAGAAACCAAAAGTCGGTAGTGAAAATTGTGCAGTGATCGCGGAGGTTTCTTACAAAGGGGAGTGCGAAGTGCGGAAGTACGAACATGGGTCGAGTGGCTTTTGGAGGGCGAGGCAAGGAGGCACCACTAAAGTGGCCCGTTTCGCCGTGGGGAGGAAAATGTGACCAAAATACGGCGTGTGTACTTTTTGGAACTGCACGCCGGCAGCTACCTCAGCCAGTTTGGAAGGGACCGGAATCGCTCCACACAAGTAGTTGTGGTTCCTGTTCAAACATTTAGACCCCCACGCACTAGGCTTTACAATTAGAGGACATCCTTTAAGCTTTCTTGGCAGGAACAGGATTCGCCTAAACTTGCTGTGCTCTTGTGCTATCTTGTAGAGTTGCAAGTGAGTCTTTTTGTCCGTCTCTGATAGGAACGAGATTTCACAGAAAGAGGATATAGCGTTAGTTTGCTATTGGGAAACCAAGGGAGGAAGTCGAAGATGGACGTGCACTTCCCCATTTCCTCCTCCAACTGAGGAGCACTTTGTAGCGCCATTAAAGGTCATTCTAGGCGAATTCTTGGCTTATTGGCCACTTGACGAGCGAACAATTGCCAATCGTCGGTGTGTATGGTCCAGCCTTGAAACGACCAGCCAACTGACAGACGCCGTACGGG